TGTGCTTCCTTATTTTTCAACTAGGGGTCGATTTCTAACGCTACCCTCCCTGCACTGGAATCAAAACTGATGAACAACATTCTTGGAATAGGGTTTTCAATTCCAGTCCAAACTTTCAATTACAATTATAGTATTGAAAGTTTCTTATCACGGGATTGAATTTTGTATGAAAAAAATGTCAATTATTCTTAAAAACCCTCAAAAAATCCGAACGATATTCATATTCAATTGCTATAAACGATTTTTAATTTCAAAAACACATTAATAAGTCATTAGAATGCTGTTAAGTTTTTTTCTTCAACTCCATAATAATTCTTCAATCCATATTAGTAGTATTTATTCATAAAAGCCTTAATACTAATAATTTGCACATTCAATCGAGTGAATTTTCTGAGTCAAGGTAATGTAACGTCAACAACATACAGCTATAGAATGAATAACGTTTTTATTTATATCTAATGTATTTCAAATGCACATTACACTCGTAGCCTTGAAAGGAATCAAGATTGGCAGTGCACTTTTTTGTTGTGGACAATTTTTTTTGCTTTCATTCTTTCATCTGAATGAATGAACATTGAACTTAATTCATGTTACCAAGATTGTTTTGGGTTAAGTAAATAAAATAAAATAATCACAGAAGTGGGTTAAAATTAAATAGGAAGATTAATGAGTTTTGCGATTATTGAAATATCATGTTTGTTGTGCCGCGCCGTTAATCCTTTTCCTTTTCATTTCGTTATTGACTTGATAATGAATGGTAATTGGCGTAATTTTTAAATGGGTAAAATAGTTTTTGGATCTTCAATATTAAAAGGTGTTATTTTGTGCAATTAATTACTTAATTGATTTAAGTTTTATTTATTATATTTATTAATTCTCAAACAAATCAAGTTTGTGAGCATTCAATAAGGATTTTATTTATTTAAAATTTGATCTCATAAATCGCTAAGTTTAATCATTATGAAGTTATTTAAAGGATGTTAGCATTAATAAACCTTAAAAACCATTTCTTCAATCTTATGGATTGCAACGATGATTGTTTAACGTAGTGTCATTGCTTTATCTGCCATTTATTTTGTTTAACGATTTTGTTTTTTTTTGCAAAACGCAGACCTAGTAAGATATTTAAAAGGATTGATTTTCAGAGATATTAAATTTGACAAATTGAGCAAAAAAAATATATCTTTTTGTCCATCTCCTAAGATTTTAAAATTAATTCAAGGATCAAATTATATTCACATTATACTCATTCCATATAAGCTTCTAATTGGTTATAGGAGTAAACATCGTTAAGATGATCTAGTCGTATATTAGTTCTGAAGTTTAAATTCTTAAGTCTTAAGATTTAATTCGAACAGTGTCAAAATACTCTACCGTCTTTGCGACAAATGAGAAGGATTGGATTCTAATTTGATGTTAGACGTCATTATCAAATTAATTTTTAAATTATCATTACGTAATATCCTCATTTTAGGTTGTAATTTTAAGATAATCTTAGATTGAGATCTTCTAATTTTATTTACAAATCAGGTTTTTCCAATCTTAAAATTCAGTACTTGTACATTGTCCATTACGATCAGAACTCAATAAAGTATTTTTTTGTAGTAACGATCAACATGATACTTTTTCAAATTATGATGTATGATTGATGCTTTAATATTCTCGCAGCAAGAAGTACTTTAATATATCTAAGAAATCTTCATCTAATGTTCAAAAATTAAGTTTATGTACGCATTTGAGAATATTTTTTAAAATTAATTTTCACAAAACATTTTTCATCGTTAACTCCATAAAAAACCATGATTTGTTTATTTATCTTGTAGCAATTGCGAATATATATTAACAAGAACTCCAATATGAGTAAATAAACCAAACATCAGTAATAATGCATAGTATTGTGCGTACTGAAATAGATAAAACAAACACCCACGCAAATTATTTATTTATTTACTTCCTGACCTTGTTCAAAAAATGTTTATTAATTCGTTTGCAAAAATATCGCGTTTATGAACTTGCAAATCGAGTTCACTTTTCATTGTGTTGTTTGAAATTCTAAAATGATTGATTCAATATCTGTTTGTATACATGTTTGGGAAAAATTAAGGTTCACTGACATTTTCTGCTTAATATTTTTGAAAATTTTTCGTATTGAGCTTGTTGTTATTTATCAATGTGCGTAGATGATGATGATAGATACTTTTAGAGATATAGCACTGATTTTCTGCGCAGAATTTTAAAACTGATAATTTATTCTTTTAGCACCAGTTTTAAAGGCATTAAGCTTTTTAGTTTGCAAAAAATTCTTTTAAGTTTGTTATGATTTAAAAGAATGTTTTGCAAATTAAAATTAGGACATAACATCTGGTACGAAGATTAATCACCATACCGAAGTTAATTTTTCTCCGTTTTAATGAATGGAATATTACATAAGAGGAGTGTTTAATGCCAAATCTCTATTAGCGAGCTTAATCTAGCAAATATAACATTGGCAAGGTTAGATGATTTAGATATTCAGACAAAAAACAAATAAAAGCAAAACTCACGTCTTGAATATTTTCATTGTCGCAAAACTTAAAAGACGAATATGAGATGAATTAAAATTTAATAACAAAGGAGCACTATTCTGTAAGAATCACTGACGTAGAGGAGAATTGTAAACTATTAATAATATTACTTGAACATTCTGATAGATTTAAAAATATTCATTCTTATTTCAGTGTTATCCAAAAAAACATGGAAATTAAATTCTCAGTCGTGAAACAAATGAATTTTATGTATAATCAGTCGACTGCAGAAACAATTAATAGCGTCATTTCTTGTATGCTCAACAATTTTGGTGAATGATTATGTTGACTAGTTCCATAAAGAGTCTCTGATCAGTTTACATAAAATTATTGGAATTTCTAATAAGAATATAAAATTAATCAAGGACCACAAGGACAACAACGATTAATCAAGAACCACAATCAAATGACCACTACAATAAGTCATTATTTTTTTAATTGCACTTTAGTGCATTTATTGACGACATACTGTCCGGTAATAATTCACATTTTACACTTTTGTATTTGTATACATATGAATTAATATTATGTAGGATCAAACTTCTAATCTTCAAATCTAGGTTTCAAATAAACTAAGGCTCTCGTTTCGATCTTCTGTAGGCGTGACGTGATACTTTTCAGGTCCGTTCTAACAATATTCCATTCGTGGGTAATCTTGTAGCTCTCGTTCCTAGTTTTCCCGCTACGATTCAAGTTTCTGACCCGTTCCTCAATCCAACGTTGCCCAAATGCCCAATTATGGCTTGATCTCCTACATTAAGCAGTCGAAGTATCTAAACTTCCGAAAAAGAACAAATTTGGAAATGGCTGGATTCGAACCGACGACCCGAGTTACCATCTCAAATTTGAGCCAAGCGCCTTACCTATTCGACCAGCAAGGCACTTAACTGCTTTATTATGAAATCGATCATAAGTCATTGCCTACCTTAAACTTGACTGATGCCGCTAGCTGAAAAGCTCTTCTGTTAGATTAGTAATAAAGATAGAAGTCATGTCAACTATGCGACCTTGTTAATTAAGATAACACGTCAACAAGTTCAAAACCACATCAAATATAATTTTTTTCACCGTGTGATAAATATGAGGATTGCGATCAATGTCAATGACAATTATTTAGCTTTTTCTACATATGTTAAGCGACAAACTTGCTATATTTAACTCACTTTCATGATTGAGTACTCGCCAGATTGAAAGATATCGTGTTGAGATGTTAATTGATTCAATAAGTAGGTTTATAATTTCTGTGGCTAATTCGTGAATAATAAAAATTTTTTGATTCAAAAATTTCAATAATATTTGTGCTATTGTCTTAGCTGACACAGATGCTATTAAAATATATCTTAAGATTCATGATTATAAATTTAAGTTGTTCGGAAGTTGAGTGACATTGAACAAGTTTGAGAAGAGCATTAGACCGCTATACATACAATGTTTTAGATGTGAATAAAGTATGCATGTAATATACATGTTGGAAAACATTTTAAGACAATTTTCCCAACTGTGAGATCTCTAAACTTGAAAAAATTGGTAAAAAGCAAAAACGGTAATTAAAGTCAATGTTGAATGTAATTTTGCTTACCTTAGACCTATAAAATGCATAATGGTTAGCTCTTATTGCTTCTTTATTCTGAATTTGGTCTGAATTTACTCTTTGCTTGCTGTAAAGATTATTTGTTGACTGTAACTTATCTTATCTGCATGTCAGCAGACTTTTTTGATCAGACATATCTTATACTCGTTTTACAATTAACACGTTACATTATTGATATCTTACTTACTTACTGTAACCATGTTCCTATGTGGTTCCTTAGGTAACAACAAAAATCCTTGCATCTGACTCTGTTGCTGGTTCTGTCACCTAGTTTGTACAATTTGTCTGTTGGCACATTAAGCTGACATTCTTACATCACTGTTCTGCACCATGTAGCTTTTAAAGCTCTATCTTAGGCTCTAAGTTAAGGTTCTATCAACAATCTCGTTCCATGAGACCCTCACTAGCCCCAGATCTATGTTGACTTAAAATTTATTAACTTCTCACTTCTGTCTCCAATATTCAGACAACAAAATAAAGTTAAGAAATTTCTCGTCTTAATTATTATCAAAATAAAAATTTTAATTCCCTTTTAAGTACTCAAGTTCCAAGAAATTTATTCATTTACGATTTCTTAATTGTTATTGTTTTGTACCTCCGGCGATTGCAATATCTTGAATAGAGGTTAATTGTATATTACCGAAAAATAATTAAAGTATCACAACAACATCTAGATATGAGTGCAAACAAAACGTTTTGAATTCTGATGAAGCTACTAAAAAAGTTATTTCCTTCTTTTACGACTGTAATGGTACATACAAAATTAACATATGTGTTGAAAATCTGAAGCGGGTAAATCGATTCGACCTTTCTTATGTACAGCTGAAATGACCAGCAACTACATACGGAAATTAAAAGTACTTAAGTCTGCTATGTAAATTGTCTTAAAGTCTGCAATTTATTTTTCATAAATTTTCCGTCTTAAAAAACTAAACTTAATTATCTATTTTACACAGTAAATTGTTCATGATAGCTGTCTCTAAACTTCTTATTCATTCTAAATGCGCAAATCGTTCTAAGGTGAACCGGCAAAAGTTTCATAACTCCATTCTGTGAAAATTAAATGAATGCAATTTAAATCATAAAGTTGATTGATCGGAATATGTGACCAGAAATAATCATGTAAATTTTACATACCTGAAGTCCATGGCACCAATATCCCGTTGTTTCTGAGCTTTTTCCTAACGTAAATACAGCCGCACTCGTATACGTTTCAACATCAGGAATTAAGAGACCTCCTTCCATCACAGATGAAGAAAAGTTGTTCATTTTTGTTTGAACAAACATTGGTGTCACAAGCTGCACTTCAACATTGGACTCCTCAAGTTCTTTGTTTAATGCTAAACAGATTTGTTTATTTCATTAAATCAAGTAAGATTTCTTATGTAAATTCTTAAACCTACCTAGTGTGAAATTTCTTAAGTATGTTTTTGAGGCTGCATAAACAGTCATAAGTGGGGTTGGCTGACATTCAGAACCTGATGAGATATTAACAATGATTCCTCTTCGATTGACCTTCATTTGTGGTATAACCATTCGTGACATCATCGTAACCGCTCCTACATTAATGTTGATAATTTGCCACAGCAAATCTTCTGGCACATTATCCAGATCATCAGGAAAATCATACATTCTACCAACATTATTCACCAATATTCCAATGTCGAGCATCTGCAATTTCTGCTTGATTTCCTCGTAAATTTCTTTTCCTGAACCGAAATCAGCTGCTATGTATTTTGTTTTTACCGAGTACGTTGACTCTACAGTCGCATTAAGTTATAATGAAAAATGAGCATATGAGTAATAGTCAAGGTCTTTTCATATTAAGCCGAATGTAGCATGAACATGCAGTTATGTTTTACGGTAAATTAATCTATAATTATTATTGCGACTTACCGATTTTTTGTGCAACTTCGATCAATTTTGATTCCGTTCTTGATATTAAAACAATATTCATTCCACGTTTAGCTAACTCAAAGGCATACTGTTTGCCAATTCCATCTGTTGATCCAGTTATCACTTCAATGGAGGAAAATTATGAAAACTATTTTTAATGCCTTATTTGAGATTCTTAAAGCTTTGCTTTTGAATCAAGAATTGCCAAAATTATGCAAATTAATGGAAATCAGACAACAAATATTTTTGACAATCTTGAATGACCTTTTTTTTTTTGACAAAGATAAACCCGTATTTTTGCGAATGGCATTAGACAGACAATATCGAGGTTCACGTGCAAACAAAAGTATAAATTAAAAATTCAAATTTCTGCCGGTTAAACCGGTTTGCAAAAACATAAATTCGCGAACAGTTTGTCACATGAATTGGCAACAAAATATCGCACGATATTAGCAAAACGTATTACGTCACATTCAAATTTGTGTGCTTGCCAATTCAATACAGGAAAAATATAATTATGAATTCAATCTCAAGAAGCTTTTGAATATTTTTACAAGGTCATGAATCACAATATGTACATAGTAATGACTATCATCACTAAGAGCGGACACGATTTTTTTTTGTTATTATTAAGTTGATAATTGTCAAATGATTTATTAAATCTTGTAAAGTTAAATAAAAGGAAGATAAATACGATTAATTTGCTTTGGGAATTCCTGTTCACTAGTTTGACAATTCCAAATATGACAAGTATTTTCGGTAATATTTTTTTCTAATTTATTGATGTCATCTTCTCTTGTTCTGACAATTTGGAAAACATCTTGAATAGCTTGTGTTTTGCAATGTGTGAATAAATGATTTAAAACTTGAGCAGAGTGTGGAACTTAAAAATCAAGTGCATTTTAAATTGTTATTGATTTGGGTTTAAAACATCCAGATCCGGCTATCTTTAGATTTGTTTATACTGTCTTATGAACTGTCAATCAAATTAAAGCTTTGAAATGAGCATTTAAATAATTTTGAAACTATTTTGAAGCATGAATCTTAAAATTTTGAATAAAGAAGTTCGCAACAATTTTGAAAACTTAATGTTTTTCTTAAAGCTAAAATCTAGAAGATATTCAGCTACATTACAGTTTACAATAACAACAGCTCCAACAACAAATAAATAGGAACCAATTTGAAAAATTTTACGCTCAATTATATTAATTTTTTTGTATTAATTTCCTCTAAAATTCATGATTTTTGACAGCTCTTTGTGCACTAGCTTTAAGAATAGATACAGGTATAATAAGCGCAAAAAAAGTCATTGAAAATAAACAAAGAAGTCAATAAAAAGTGCTAATTGAAAAATTGTTGAGTTTCAAAGTTAAAAATGGATATTAATTAAGCAAAGCATCGAACGTCGACACTTTGTTTAAAGACAATAAAAAAAGTGGTCAATGGACACAGAAATTATAAAATTCAAATAAATAAGATTCATTCGTGCAACATAAAGAGGAGAAGGAGGACTAAAGCTGATACAAAAGAAGCTTTATAAATTCTATCATCGATTGACGTCATTTGGAAATGAATAGGTATTGATTTTTGATTAGAAAATAAATTTTATGACAATAGCAGAGTTGTAGAAAAAGGCTATTTAAAAGATTATTATCCAAAAGCTTGTTAAACTTACTTCATTAAAATATAATAGAACGATTAATGCCCGTGTAATTAAAATTATCTTTACAAACCGTAAACCTTATTAATTTTAATATAGCCGATTTATTTGTTTAAAACCTTTTAAAACACGTGTTGTAAAAACGTTTTTTAAGCTTTGCTTGTCAAATTGTGGGTCATTTTTTGAAATTTTAATAATATTTGTACAATTTTAAAATAATTTAAAAATTATTTATTCTTAAATTCTTTGAAAGGTGATTTTCAAATGACTTCTAAATAGATTTTTATTCAAATGACTTCTTAAAATCTTAATTTTTAACAATATGTCCAAAAATCTCTTTACCTGCCCATCTTCCATATTTTTCCGGCAAACTTTTATCTAATTTTCGAATGATTTTCGGTATGATTACATTGTAAATAATTTGTATCACAGATTTAAAGTTGTAGTATGTCCACCAAATTAGTGCCCATATTCCAGCTAATGCTAACAATGATATTGGCACAATGAACAAGTATGTTTTAAAGAAAAATATTGAAACCTCTTTCATTTTTATTCACTTAATTTATTTTTACATATCCAAGATTAATTTTTAAAATTATTTTCTTTTCACTTCAAACAATTTTTTTTATCCTTTTTCAAAAAAATTGTTTACACTTTACAAGTATTTCCTCTAATTCCACAATTTTTAATGAGTCGAGACTTTTTGTAATGAAATTCTTAAAAAAAAAGAATTAAATCAAAATTAATTTCTTCCTTTTTTGTGACCGTCTTGTTTAAAATTTCGGCAACGACTGATGAGAAGTCGCCTTAAAAACTTGCTGCATCATTTTCACAATAAGAAAAATACAAGCCTTTAAATCTTTTATTCTTTTATTTCATTCATCGCATCGATCGATTTGTGTCTGTATTAAAGAGACAATGCGAAACAGGAAAAGTGAATCGACATATGTGGGACATAGAAAAATAACATAAACTTGTTATAAACATACAAATGCATTTAAATATAACAAAAGTTGAATCACCTGCCGAAATAAAAAATAACTTAGATCAGGAATTTAATTATTAATAGGTTATTTATAATTTTCTTACATAATAAACAAAAGCGTAGATTCACATTAAAATGTATGTTGCATAACTTTAAACGATGAACTTGATACACTCAAGTTCATTTTTGAGCAAACCGACAAAAAAAAAGTTTTTGCTTCTTCTTTTTCTATTGTTGTTTTTTTCTTTAAAAAAAGCACAATGACCTACAAATGATACCGTTATAGATTTCATATTTGTTTTGTGCATGTGCATTAGAAGCGTTGCCTGATCGATTGTTGAACTTTAGAATGAACTATTCTCGAAACACTTTCAATTTCTATAACCTTAATTGACTTTTTAAGTCAATCGTGTTAAGTTTTTCGAAAAGCTTTTAATGCTCATTATTTGCTGTCGGTCTATTTACAATCATCTTTATTTGAATAATTAAGTAAACTGCTGTGAAGTTTCGGCTGTTAATTAGCTAGATTGTTAAAGTAATTATCATATATTTTCGGGTCTAGTGACCACAAGTTGAATTATACTTACACATTCTTATGGTTCTGACTTATTCTTAACACAATTGCTTCTATATAAATAATAAATTGCTTGATTATTTTTTCACTGAAAATAAAACTTTTAAATTTAAAGAAAATTGAAGCTTAATTAATTTTTTGAAACTTTTTAAAAACCCAAAAGAAACTAAAACAACACTTTTAATTTATGGAGGTTTTGAATTGATTTTCATATTAAAAATTATGTTTTAATCTCCGCATTTTTTTGAAATAACTAAACACATAAATTTATATAATTTGTGCCAATAAGAAACATATTAATAAATTATATTCAAAACGAAAATACAATTTAAATTTGTGTAGACCAAAATCAAAAGCTACACGTGCTTTTGTGAAAAGCTCAATTTGTCTGAACATAAAAAATCAGCTCTGATAAATATTTTTTTTTTAATTTTTAAGAAATATTTTTTTTTATTTTGTAATGTCGAAATATAAAAAACTTAATGTTAAGATTTTATTGGCTGTTTTATTTTAGGTAATGAAAAATATTTCGTATTTCCTTTTTTTAACATCTTCATTGTATAAGCTAATTAATGGATAATTTTACCAAAGCACTACGAATTTGTTGAAAGAAGATTAATAGCTCGTGACGACAAATTCAATTTTCAAAACGCATTCCTCATTTATGATTATTTATCGTTCGTTTAATAAAGGTGTGAAATCACCAACTAAGACAAATTATAAGCCGACTTAAAAAAATGATAGTAAAAGGTTTTTCAATGACTAAATTAGACTCTTAATTTAAATCACAAAAATTCGCATTATTTTCATTATTTGACATCAAACAAAATTGCCCTTCGATTCCAAATGTTCATTGCAGCCGACCGGTTTCTCGTGTTTCTTTTTCAAAGTAGCTATTGACATAATTTACGTCTGTCATGTCACCAGACGATTGTTATCTTTTTTTTATGCATTATAACATCGTTTGTCTATATAAAAAGAGTTGTGTGACTCACAAACTTAGGATTTTTCTCACGTTACATTTGTTTTTAATTAATAAAAATAATAACCTGTAGAATAAAGTAAAATATTCAAGCAAATGGTGAAACTAGTGCACCGGATGGCATCACGTTAAGTTTTGAAGTTTTATTTCTAATTTCTAAGATTAGGCAAGTGCTTTTGAAACAAATTCCTCAGCATGAACAGCGTCTAAGTTTGAACAAGATGAAGCTAGGAGTTAAATTGCTTTTTGTGCAACTATAATTACCAATAAATTAATAATAACCATTAAAAACTAAGCATCTAGCTTTATCAAATATTAGAATTATCGATAAATTGATTTAACCCTTTGTAAATGAGCTGATTGACCTACCGAACAGGAAAAAACCAGAAATAAATTCTAAAACCTATCAAAATATAAAAATTACTGCGCATCTCATGACACCTTTTATGTTTAGTAACATGTAATCAACTCTCGTTCTGCCTTGTTCATGAATATAAATTTTTTGATAAATCATATTCAATCTCCTTGTACACTTCAATTTTCTAAACACTTAATCCCATGAGATACTTAATTATAATCTGATGTTGCTAAGTTCGAGAATGTCAAATTCTTTAAATATACGAGCCTATGAGAAGTTTGGTACTCACTTGTCGGAATTTTAATTCTCGCTTTTAAAGCTATGGCCTTCAATATCATTGAATTACGCGCTATGCGTTTAATATTCTCATTTTCTAGTTGTTTAACTTCCGAACGTTGATTTGTTTTTTTGACCATTAGACATTGACATTGAATGAATCTCTTTTCAATGAGATTTTCTAAAGGTCTGCTTTAAGACAGAATTTGTCTTCTCGTTTATGGATGTACAATATAATATTTCCAGCACAAATTGCTAAGCAATTTTTGAATCTCTGACATTTGATTTCATATGTAATTTCAATGTAGGAAAAGGAAGTATATTTCAAACCAAAGAATACAGCAACTGCCAAAAATCAACGTAGTTTTATGTTTTGAATGCCTGCAGTTGTTGATTGCATGTCTGAACTTGACCTACCTCAAACTTTTGTGTTGTCTTTCCTCTTCAAAAAAGGCATTAATTCTTAATTGAGTCTGAACCTAAACATTAATATTTTTAACTGTCCATAAAAGGTTCCATTCATAGCTCTTAAAAGCACACAGTTTAAGTTTTTCCCAGTTATACCTGAAAATACTCGAATGTGTCTAAAAAGTATGAAATCTTCAAAACAGGTTCAATGTTCACTTGCATCATATGTATAGCCATAAATTTCACAGTCTATAACCATTTTTATTAAAATTAAATACAAAACATTTTGAACATTAATTAGAAATCTTCGCTACAATATCACTGTTGTTATTATTATTAAGTATTTTCTGCTGTGCATAATATTCTTCTCTAAAACCACGATTCATACTTAATGAAATAATTGTTCGGATGAACTCAGGACACAGCCGCATTGCTCCATACTGTAAAATAGAAAGAAAAATTCGTCACGAGTTCTAAACAATGCAGTAAAATCGTAGAAGATCAAGATTGCTTACTTGAAGTCCATGACTCCAATATCCAGTTGTTTGTGAGCTTTTTCCTAACGTAAAAACTGCAAATTTTGTATAAGATTCAACGTCAGGCATTAAAATGTTGCCTTTCATCACATATGTTGAAAAATTATTCATCTTGGTTTGAACAAAAAGCGGCGTAACAAGCTGCACTTGAACGTTGTGCTCCTCAAGTTCTTTATTTAATGCTAAATTACAGATTGGATGAGTAGATCGTGCCTTATTAAATGTCAGTAAACAAACTTAAATCTTACCTAATGAAAAATTTCTAACGTAAGCTTTAGTTGAAGCATAAACAGTCATAAGTGGGGTTGGCTGACATTCAGAACCTGATGAGATATTAACAATGATTCCTCTTCGATTGACCTTCATTTGTGGTATAACCATTCGTGACATCATCGTAACCGCTCCTACATTAATGTTGATAATTTGCCACAGCAAATCTTCTGGCACATTGTCAAGATCATCAGGAAAGTCATACATTCTACCAACATTATTCACCAATATACCAATGTCGAGCATCTGCAATTTCTGCTTGATTTCCTCGTAAATTTCTTTTCCTGAACCGAAATCAGCTGCTATGTATTTTGTTTTTACCGAGTACATTGACTCTACAGACACGGTAATTGAAATAAAAAAAAGTAAACTTATGAGTAATTGTCAAGGCCGTAAAACATTCAAAAACGGTTAACATGAGAATGCAGCTATGTACGGTGTGAATAATTCATGCTTACCAATTTCGTTTGCTACTTCCTTTAATTTTGATTCTGTTCTTGATATTAGAACTACATTAAGGCCTTGTTTTGCTAATCCAATTGCGTATTGCTTGCCAATTCCATCTGTTGATCCGGTTATGACTTTGAAATTGAAAATGGATTATTTTAATTGAGAACAATGTTCTTTTTAAGTTAAATGACATGAAATTCTTTGAATATAATTAAAAATTTCCAGTTGTAGAAAAAACCAAACCCACTTAAGAATATTAAGAAGTGACTTGAGATTGAATAAAAGTATTTCTGATCAACTCGAAGCATTGCAACCTGCAATTAACGCGATTTTAAAAAAAGCTACTCAACACTTAAATAAAAAGACAATTAGATTTAATTAATATTCAATTGACACAAACCAAAATGACCTTCTATCTTAACTTTTAAGTCTCATGTTTATTTTTACAACTTGAGATGAAATCTGAAGCATCCATGCTTGTGTGTCAAGATTATTCTATCGCTTTATAAATGCGACACAGAAAATGCATTTAAATCTTTTTTAGCTTAAACCTGTTTTAAATGCACTCTGTAAAATCTTGTGTCTGAAGGTCATCTTTGCAAGCAGAAATTCTTTCAATAAATTTATTATTAAACGCTTCTAATTGCCTCAATCACGAATGTCTTACATATAATATGAGATTTCATACTAAGAAATGATTTTTAAATATTTATAACTTCCATTCAAGTCTTAATTGGATTAACATTATGATATGAGATCAAATCTGCTAATTAGTATGATTTCAGAGAAAACTTCTTCATATCTTGTACTTATTGATACTTTTTAAAACCAGCTAATAGTTCTTCAGAATTAATTCTCATTTACATTTCGTTCAGGATCCTTCAACTTTAATAAGAAATTGATAAAAGTCACTTAACATAAAATTCTTTGAATGAAACTACTTTAGAGACTCCTTGAGTAGAAAATCCTGTTCAAGATAGTCGAAATTGAATCTCTTATTATGAAGATCGTATAAAGTATGAATAATTGGTATTACATTTCAGATTTTCTTTTGCATTAACAGTTGATATACTTTTGAGTATGATCACTTATGCAAAAACCCTGATTTTGTCACTTGGTTGTGAATAAGTTAATCACAGCGGTCCATCAAGTTTTAAAATTTTGTTCATCATCTAAAGCAGCTTTATCTTGAATTGAATCATTTTTAAAAGCTCATAATTGATAACGATGCATTTTAATTAAAGATCCTTGAAGTTATTTAACAAATCTCTACTAATTACATTATCTTGAAAACAAAAAGAGAATGCCGCAAACCATTAATGCTCTTCAAATATTGCCAATTATCAAACAATCCACAAAGAAAATCAAAAAGAATTTATTTTGTCAATATTTAACTTTGATGCTGAAAAATAAATTTTTTGAACCCCAGAAACTGGTAGTACGTCAACAAATGAATTTGTTAAATAAACCTTAACATGATGAAACCTCATTAGTATTCATATTGAAGAATTAACACTTTTGTGAGATTTTGTGTAAATTGTCCAAAAATTAAGCTTTTGGAGACTAAAGTAAAAGATGCACGAGGTTTGAAACTATCTTACCTGCCCATTTTCCATATTTCTCTGATAAACTTTTATTTTCATTTGGAAGAAAGTAAGGCGAAAGCAACGCTTTGACTATTTGTAATATTGACTTAAAGTTCTCGTAAGCCCACCATATATATGCGTATAAACCGATTAATGATAAAGTAAGTAATGGCACTTGATAATTTAAATAAAAATTTACGATTTTGTCCTGCATGCTTTCCATTATCTTCGTTTCACTTTCTTTTTAAATTGATTCTTCAATCTTCTTCCATAAATTTAAACTTGTTTCTTGTGCTTTATTCAATGCTAATTGAAATACTTTAATTTAATTAAACTTCACACTTGACTGGTTCGATTTTATTTATCACATAACAAATATCACTAAATCAAAGCTCATGTGAGCACAATTTCCTTGAATTATTTCTCCTTTAGCAACTTCCTTATTTTCAAGGTATGAAATAAATTGCCGGAACGAGAATTTTATTTTATCCAAAAAATAAGAACTAAAGAATGGTTTTATTTCATTTTACAGCTTTTATAATATTGCAATAAAATAATTGGCCAGTTGTTTGTTAAGATGAGGGCTTAAAATTACAAATTAGTGAAAATAAGTTGTGGCAATTCTCAAAAAATTTTTGAAGTTTTGTTCACAAAAAAACCGTCTAATGGAAATTGCAAGATTGGGAAAAAATCAACAAATCCCAACAAACATCAAAAACCCGGCAAATAGAACCACAATTTTTAAGAGACTCAAAAAAGTTATTCGAAAAAGTCATAATTAAATCCTCAATTTAAATAAAGTTTTCAAGTGATATTTGTTATCTGAATGAAAATTTAAAATTCTAGTTCAATATTTTTCATTATGTTTTAAAATATTTTAATTGAATTTTTTATTTATTTTATTTAAATCAATTAGTAATATTCTAAACCACACAAACTTTGTTAACAAGTTATCACTTTTGAATCAGAAATGAACTACAAACAACTATTTAAATTTCACACTCTGTTGTAGGTCAATTCAGTTTATTTTGATTTAATTCCAAAAGTCCACTCCGAGAATAATTTATAAAAAAATTGTCAAATACAATTTCAAAAAAAACTCTCTGTTTATTATTATCACCACTAGCTCAATAACCGATAAGCTTTATTCAATTATTTCATGTACATTCACACAATGCGACCATAATCGTCAAAAATCCGATCACAACTGAGTTGAGAAGCCTTAACTACGTATGCCATAAAACTCTAAGATTTTTTTACTATTGCTCATTATTTCAAATTCAATTATGGTGCAAATGTATTGTACGTACGCGAATAAAAATTAAAACAAAACGAAGAAGAAGGAGGAAAGCTTGAGCGTTAGCGTTAGGAGCCAAATGAAAATGAAATCGTAGAAGAAGTACGAGGTGATAACAAGTGTATATAACGAATACAAGTACAAGAGCTTTATATATTTGTGTTAAAAGTTCTGCTATGGGAAGTTGGAGTCATTAGCTTTACTTTGTCAGCTTGTCTATTGGAAATGTTGTTTGTCAACCATTTCTAATCAAAAACACACAGTTCGGTACGAATAACAGGGAGTTTTGAGCTTATATTAATTCTGTATGGTTTCTGCTAGCTTCTACCTACTTCTGTGCGTCCGGATGTAAATTTCAACTCTAGCAATATGCGCGATCAACACCACTGTCCATTATATCAATTCAAAACTCGATTCATTCATCGATCCATTGCCCACTACAGCTGTAGAGACAGTTATTAGTGCAAGAAAAAATTATTCATTATTACACAATTATAGCCGTTGAACTTGATACATGTACAATAATAACAAGCGTATAAATAAAGCAGCCAATAACAACAACATTGACTACAAGCTCATAATTATGTATTATATATAATATGAAAAACACACTTACTGTACTGTTTGTACATGAAGAAAAAAAAAAGACCGACTTAGTGACCTACAAACTATACCGTTGCAAGTTTCATTACCGCATGAATATAAACGACAACGATCAATGAACTTTGAAGCGATAATCGCTTGATTTCTTTACATTATTCGCTAAATGTTCTGTTTGTGATGATGTTCGGACAATGCAAAGATATGATTTAATCATTTTATACATGCATACTATGTAGCTGGAAGCGATAATAATTTTCATGTTGTGTGACTGATTTTAGGTCAGTTTTAAAGGCATCAGACAGTTGGTTGCAACACACTGCAGAATTATCAGTGAAAATAATAGTTTCCCAATAGCTTACTGGTAGTTATGAGTAGGTTTCAATGTAAAAAGCTTCTAGGCTGTCTGTGATTTTCTGCTGATATCTTTAAAACAATGGACATCGGCCTGAATGCAGTACATTTATAGATTGAGAGAAAAAGAAATGCAAAGCTGGATATTTTCAAGCATATTTTAAACTATGAAAAATAATTTGACTCTACCTTAATATATTTATCACGATACTATATGAGACGATCGTACTTCAAAGGCGAGTTATTTTTCAACTTTAAAAAGTTGTTTGAAAGTTGACAGCTTAACTCTTTACTTAGTCTAGCCCTACACATAAACCATTGTTTTATTATTGTGAGAAGTAGAAGACCATGATCTGATGTTTATTGATTTAGATATGAAAATTAATATGCAGGATGATTCCTGTTATTTCTTACATTAACATATCAATGAGGTAATCCAAAAATACAGAAAATGTTGCACATAAATGCCTTAAAATCTTTGTTAAATCTAATAAAATAAAAAGGAATGTTAATGAGCACCAAAAAATGTTCGTAATTGTTTAAGGTTGCCTATTGTTATAGTTGCGTTATTTACCTTACTGCTGCAGACGAAGTGGATTAAAATTTTGTTTATTTTAGACACACATAAAATTTTGCAATTATTTTAGTAGATTTAAATAATTTATTTAATTATTTTGCTTCTTGGAGTTTAAAAATTAAAAACATCTTAAGACCTACTTGTTAAAATAAAAGATTTATACCGAAAGCTTCTTAATAGAGGTTAAATTTAATTTTAAATACTTTAATCAGTTTCCGTGGTTAATTGAGTTATCTGCAAAAAGCTCACCTTTGCAAAATTACGCAAAGCTCTTTAATCTAGAATTCTGTAACAAGGTCTTACAAATTGCAAATAATTGCATTAACAGTTTTATATCGTATTAAAAATTTTTTTTTAAAATGTTCATAAAACAATAAGATTTCAAGCTTAGCACATACATGAGTGATAATTGATTATGAATGCACGTGACACGTAAGTTAAATTTCCATTTTCACATAAATTCATCATTTGGTCAAAGTTATTATTGATTATTAACGATCATTAACACTTAAGTTTGTTATATTATATTTCTAACCCTAATTTATAATGAAAATATTTAAACGGAGTTCAAAAATTCAATTTCTTATTTTCTGAACGCCATCTTTTGAGAAATAGCAAAAAATTCAAATAAATTCAAACAGAATAAACGTTTTTCGTTTTCTTCTTTTTTGTTGAAATATAAACAACTTAAAAGATTTTTAAATTAAACTGAATTAATTAATACATTAATTTTCAATACAATTTCGATCATGTTGTAAGAAAATCAACTCCCAACATTGATAAATGCACGACACATTTCTCATTATTTGTCAATAACTGCATCTATGGTTTTTTAATAAATATTAAAATTGTCTCATCAAAAATGTCATTAAAATCGTAATTGTTAAAGAAAATAATATAATAAAAATTATAAGCAGGAAATGATTCATTATAGTAAGTAAGTGAGTATTTGTCTCGACTCAAAAGTCATTTCTCATATAAAAATAATGCAAAAAAGGGAATAAAAATTAAATATTTTGGAAAGCTATGTAAGGTAGAGAGGCTTGAGACGCATTTGACTAATTTTGAATTATTGACTTTCTAAAGTTAAGTGACTCTGAGGAAACGTAATAGCTCCAGTTGAAACCCAGCCAACAGAACAACCTGCTAAAGAAGAAGCGCCACTACCAGCTTCAGATGTGGGAAACATCAAAATATATTACTTTTGAATGGGTTTAGACATAAAGTTTCAGATGTGTAGATTATTTTAATAAATATTGGAAATTTTAAAGGAAGTTCAAGACTCTAATGAACCTGCCTCATCTGACCACACTCAAGCTATTGATCAGAATATGTTCCAATAATCCAAATCTCATTGTAAAATTCTTACGCTATTAATAGATCATCTCAAGGATAATTCCTAACCTTACTAATCAATGAGACGTCAAAGCGCACCGATTATCACATCCTTCTCATAAAAATACACATTACAGAAATTCAGTGAAAAATATTTTCTTATTTAATTTAAAAAAACTTGTTTTCAACATTCATCCAACATATTTCTATAATTATGCATGATTGCAGTGCCTCTCTTTTTTTTATTTTTCTTAAAAGGCAAAATAATATATTAAATACACAATTCACAAGAAGCTGTAGAATGTTTGCAGAAAATAAAATGAATGAATTTCAACGAACATAAATTGTATAAATTGACTGCCCATCCAGCCATTCGCATCAATATATAAATACAATATTATAAATAAATGGATATATGCATCACACAAACAGACGTCCACATCATATACATATATTGAAAGAGAGCGCATCAATGCAAAATAAAAATGAGAATTACGTTCAAGACAAGCCAGAAAAGAAGTTGGAAAAAATTTATTCAATGAAAATTGATGGATGATTGAATGAAATAATTTGCAGTGATTATTCGTTCTCTTGTATTGATGGATGCATGCCGGGTCTCTCGAAACATAAACCTGTAATTTATTTGGAAATAAATCGTAAGAAGAAAAAAAACTGAAATGAACATCAGAAAAAAAGCAGAAAATGAAATGAAAAAAAAAAAATCATATTTATATAAATCGCAATCTTTTGCTTACTTGAAATATGCACAGATTTGAGGAATTTTCTAAGGAGATGTAAATTGGATGGCAGAATGTCCAATAATTTGATTTTAATCTAAAGAAACCTGTTTAAATTTTGAAATGCTTACAATTAATAAAAGTTTTGAATAAGGTCGGAGGTTTCTTAAGTATAAACCTTCTAGTTTCTACTAGACATAGCTACGAAGCATTATCTACTTAAATTTAAATTTTGAAAATTATGACACATTGAATTATGATCGATTCGTACAAGAATCTGCAATTTCTTAACTCTCGACAAGGATTAACACAATGCTGACAACATGTACAGCTACCAATGAGCTTTCCCAACTCGTTCAAAGAGTCTTTCATACCAGTTCTTATATTTTTTGATTTCCTTCAAACATGAAAATAAGAAAAATCAAAAGAAGAAAAAAGAATAAAATTATATTAAAATAACTAAAATCGAAAACGTGATTCGAATAATAAAATCAAATTTTACTTTTTTTTCGAATGAGTTAACTACATTATTTTAATGCCTTTAGCGTGGTATTTTTATTATAAAAGATTTTTACATTTTTCTTCACCAAAGATCTTTAAAATGAATAACGCAAAAATAACAACAAAAATCTGTTAGATATGTTGAAAAAATAAAATATGTTTAATAAAATGATACAATAATGGAGATAATTTTAAGTTATATAAAGGTGCAAGTTTTTCAATGATCATTTTATGATAATTTACATTTTCTTATTTTTTATGCTGAATTATCATAAATAATAAAAAATATTTCTTGGAATTTTTCATATGTTAAATTATATTTTATGATTGGATCTTGTTAAATATAAACTTTATGATTGTGCAATTTCAAATCCTTTAGGTGATAGACAAAATGATTTGACGATCGGATAATGAGGCTTAATTTAGAAATATTCACATGATGATAAATGTTCTAATAAGAGTTATGATGTATTGGATGTGTAAATTAGTTGATAAATTCCTTACTAGATCAAACTATGACCAATTCATCTTCAGCCAATTAATATTAATTTACAATAAATTTCAAGTCTCATTGTTTTAAAATTTTATTCAAATTGCTGAAACATTTTAAAAACAAAAGCGAACGAAAATACTTGAAAATAATCCAGAATCACCAAAAGTGTCAATCCATAAGCTTCAAGATCACTTAAATCATTTTGAATGTTAACAGATAATTGCTATTAAATTTCAATATCCTCCTGAGATCGCGATTTGAAAAATTTAAAGAGCTCAACTCTTCATTTTTCAAGGAAAAAAATTTTCAACAATAACTTCATCGAGCGAAATATACTTAACATAATAGGATGTACAACAATGGAAGTGAAATTTAATTTTAAAAATTTTCTGCTTCTCCTTTTTTTGATTATCTATAAATAATAATAAGAAAATATTTTGATAGCTTATAATTTCTACATTGTGAGCACATAAACATCAGCAGTAGCAAAAAAGCATTAACTATTTTAAAACTTTATGCATTTATATGATTATATCTATCGCGAAGTAAAAATATTTTAAGGCACAATACACATTTGATAGTAAATGTTGATGCTTGTGCAATATCATAGATTATTAGCATAAATGTATGGGAAGGAGAAATTCTGATGCAGGGATTTCATGTAAATGAGCAATTTTGAGTTTGTTGTGTCTGTGAAGGTTTAGGTTTTGATCTCAAGTCATACTATGGGTCCATTTGGAAGTCAAACAGAGTTCAGAGTTCATATAGGATTTATATTGAATCCACATGGCTAGCCTTAACTTATTTGAGTAATTTAGGTATTGTTCCAAATGTCTAATGCTTCAAAACTTCCAAAATCAATCCAAATGATTCAAATTCACAATCAAAAATGCGTAACCAGTCGCTTCAGTCAAAACATTCTTC